GTCACTGCAATACTGGTTCTGGGCTAAACTCAGCCAGTTCAGCTGCACAACTAGTACCTTATTCTTTTACTAGACAGCTCATGCAATTTAAGTTTTACGCAACAGGAGTCCATCCAAACTGTTCATTACATAACAAATGCTCACCTGTAATCTCGCTTGTGTGCCTTCTTCACCAGGGAGCGCATGTGAGCAATGTCTGGCCGAAAATACCCACTCGTTAGCTGGGCAAAAAAGTCCGTAAGTGGTGACCCAAAATGGAAGTTCTCACAGGCAAATAGACGACGCAGTGTTTCTTCTTTCTCCTCTTCATCGCGGTCACCAGGGAAATTTGGCAGGAAACTCTGAAACACACAACATTATATTGTAATTATTTTCATAAATGTGAATTGCAATCAACGACAAATTTTATCAATTCCTCTATACAACTTGCACTCCTCCTTTAATCATTTTCTGAAACAAAGTGAAATTTTTCCATTCTTTCATTGTGATTTAATAATTTTTCACTGACAGTGGCACCTACAATGTCTTGGATTTTCAATCTCTCCACAGAAGTCAATGGAACCTATTAAAATACATAGCTTTAACTAATTTTCTATTCTAACACAAATTATTAAATACACCAATTGTTTATGTGATATATATTAACTAAAAGAGAACAAATAAAAATACATTTATATCCGCATAAACAAAAACTTCTTTGTAAGAAAACATCATGAAGGGAGATGTATACTTGTTGCAATCTTAATGTTAGCAAATAATTTTTTCTTTTAGTTCAATCATCAATTTTTCTACCCCTCATCCACCATTCGTTCATTCTTTTTTCCACTTCAAAACTTAAACTGCAAACCCAGGCACTACAAATACAACTTTTTTGGTCAAGATCTTTTATTAATTTATTTTTAAGTGGGTTTTATTAAGCCTCAAAGATATCTAAATGTACCTTCTGTATAACAATGACAGAGAAATCTAACATTTGAAATGACCTTTTGACAAAACTTTTTTCTCCTCTAATTTCTTCCCAATATTTTCAAGAACTGCAAAGATCATAATGCAAGTAATATGCTTATGAAAATGTGCTGATGGAGGGAGTGTTTAACATTTGAAAGAGTACAAAAGCAATAAGGAATTACTGCAAATGTCATTCCTTTGAAACTCTTCCATTAATTATTTTAATATGAAAATTTTCTAATAGGCCATGAAAAATAAAAAAAAAAATTCTTGTTCCTGTAGCATGACAATTTTATAGCAGCATGCACACTTAAGTCTTCACATTACAAGCTGAGTTAGTAAAAGCTTATGTCAACAACAGTAGACAAATTATCCAGAATCAAAACACTTTGCTGTGCAAGTTGGTTGACAATATGTCAAATACACAAAACAATGAACATTTGGAGTTAAACAATTTTCCTTATAAAAAAAACAACAGAATGTTCTCTAATACATGGTACATCTGGATACATACTTTAAGAAATTTTACCATTCAGCTAGTCAGGAAGACTAAATGTAGCCGATTTATATCATTTTATGAACAACAAAAAACAACACTTTGTTATTGACAATTAGAAAAACTATCAGAAAAATTACTGAACTTGCTGTTCTAATATATGTACGTTTACCCCACCAAAAAACATAATAAAGGAAAAGTTTAAACATAAATGATAGGAAAATTTGGCTGTTAATTTCGTTTAACAGTCTACTTTAAATGCACTTATCTTTACACATAAGGAACTGATTTTTCATGCCTTTTTCACAAAATCTAAATTCTAGAAGCTCACTTGATTACAAATCAAGTCCATTAAGTTCTTTCCAGACACAAAACCACTTTCACTACACTGACATTTTCACTGCACCATAATTGCATCATTGCATTTGCAAATAATGAATTTTCTTAATTCAGGTGTTGTACACTGCCTAAAAAAATCTCATTTACAAATTACCCAGAAAGTAGTCAATTAACTCCAATTTTGAAGAACAGAATCTCAGAATAAATCTCTAACTATGCAACAGTTTTCAGGATATTATGTCATCGGCAAAATTCAGCTCAAAACATGAACCACATTAAACAATTTCCATACTCGATTCAACAAATTTCAATTGCAAAATGTAAAAATGCCTAGTAATGACATTGACACTAATAAATGATGCACATCACTTCAATCTGGTAGGTATAACATTACAATGAGATTACTTCTGTTTCATATTACACATTCACTAAAACTTCTTAACTACCAGTAGCACAGGAGATATATTGCTATCATACTGTAAATTATGCACAATTGTTTTCATTCAACACTAAACCACACAGAAATATTGACACTGAGTTTAGCACTATGATATACCTTCAGATGTTCACGCTGTTGGTCATTGAAACACTCCTGCCAGGTGCGCATGGAGAAGAATTCACGGAAAATTTCTTTATTTTCACATAAACCTTGTGGAAGGCGAAGTTCTACGCCTCCCACACGACATTCCTCCATTCTTAGAGATTCGTGTGACATCTCAGAACTCAAAACTGAACCTTCTGAGGACATAGTAGAGTATTCTGGCTCCATTTCCAAGCCTGCAAAAGAGCATGACAAATTAATCCATTGTTTCACATTAAAATTTACACAAACAGAAAATAATACCTTTACAAACCAAAAAAGGTACAGTTTAAGTCAAACAAATCTTTTGCAAAGCATTATAAAGGTAAACCGGCATAAAGATGAGTTGCGGAATTGAGGTTATGTGACACTTGAACGTCAATATTCCAGCGTAATAACCCTCATGACTCACTGAACATATGTTTAACATCTCACAAACGAATTTGATGCATGACAACCCAGTTTCCGTGGAGGAAGGGAAACGACTTTCGAGACTTTGAACTACTTGCATATTGCTGGGTCAGTATTATTCTATATTTTACTAACTACTCAGAAAGTGAGATACCAATGTTTTGATGCAGGAGGAGCCTCATAAGGTGATGGTGACATAACAAACTACGGAAGGACATCTAATAATTCGTGTATATACCGACCTTTCGGATGTAATATTTTAAGTTTTGTCTAATTTCAGCAGCCTCCACGCTTGGTATCGCCAGTCTGCAATGCAGATATTATAGACACCAACCGTGGAGGACATGGCGGACGGAACAGGAACCATGTTTGATTGAGGGAACGAATGGACGAACCAAAACGAAGGAACGAGGGGGAACAATTGAACAGCGATTTTGCCCGCTGAATTAGAAATTGCCTTTGACAGTAGACACGTTTTACTAACAAACTTTTGTGAAACAAAATTTAGTTATTTCCAAACATAAAATATTCAGAATCTCTATGAATCACCTAATTATCAAACATTTAATGTATTAATGAATCATTTAATGAATAAACTAATTAAAATACATTAAATAATAACTAATTTCCATATTGTGCAATTTTTAAATTAAAACAATCACTGAAACACTATCCATTACTCACCTCTAAATATATGTAGCGTCGTAATAACTTTTGTCGCGTACATTGGGAATACAGGTTATTTATTCTTTTCCTATTGATATTGAACTATATAATATTGGAGTTCACTGTGATGGATTTAAAGTGAGTGCAAAATTACTCTTGTAAAATCTGAAAAGTTGGCATGCAAATTAACATTTTAATATTTTGGGTTCTTATCATATAAACATTAAAAAGATTATAAGACATTGATGTTTTAAAAGGAATTGTGAGTTAGGTTATGTATATTTCTTATCTTATGCAAATTTGTAGCAAATTGTAGGTTCTTCTTCAAGTGAAAAATACAAGTAAATCAGAACAAAAATTCATTAATGTTTTTCAAAATAAATTCATGCATATGCATGAATCTTTATGTATATGCATAAAGATTCCTTTATTTCAATTTAATTGAAAATAAAACATTTACTAAAACATTATTTTAAAAGTACTAGAGTAAGCTTACATATACCAACTGCTTTATTTAGGATATAGCAGTTAATTACTTCTAAATAATTCATCAATTAAAACATTATTTTCAAATATACTATGTTAAGCTTTGATACAATCATCTGGTTTATTTAGAGCATGACTGTTAAGCCAGATGCAGTAAGTTCTACTAACAAGAAGCACTATTCACCATTCAAAACTTGTGAATTATATTTAATGACTGAAACAAACTTTACGCATAAAATGGTGGAATAAATACAACTCTTGATTAAAAAAATACTTTTATAGTACAATTAATTCAATTGTTGTCATATTTAATACCACTTTTTAGAGATTTGTTTCTGCTTTCAATGGATAATTGAATCATAAAAATCTCATTTCTTTGCTACTTGCATATTCTTTTCATTGTACTCATTGCAAAGTTTTTCACTCTTGTGTGTATATATCTATTAAAAAAAATTAAAAGACAAATTATATTTACCTGCATTGAAGTGTATGGTTTTTATTTCATCTGATTCATTTTCATCAAAAAACAGTGAAAACTGTATGTGATCTGCAGGGGGGCAATATAATCTACACACATTTTCTTGTCATTCAGAATCCCTGCCCTACACTTTTACTACGCATAAATGAATGATGAATCAAAGTACCATCAAAGCAAGGTTATAAGCAGGGCTCAGATTCTGATGACCTAAAAATCCCTCAAAAACGACCAGTAAAAAGGCTTGAAAATAAGAGGAAAATGACCTAAAAAACTTAAAGAGGAAACTGACATAATTTTTTTTAAATTAGTAAAAATTTTTATGAAAATGCTTCAATAATTTTCCAATATTAAATAAATTTATTTATATAAAATTATGTTTAATATAAAGTCTTCATTTTAGGAGGAAATGTAATGCTTTGCTCCGATCTTCCAACTGTTGATTTTGAAACATTGAGGAAGTTATCATAGATCCATGTAATTTTCAGAGTTTGAAAAACAGAGTCCATTGCAGTAGTGAATTTCATCATGACTTGATGATACAATAAAAATTTTGTTTTAGTGAGTCCTTGTAAATTCATGAAACATTCACTAACAAAACATACAAAGGGGAAAAAATGACACTAAGGTCCAAAATGACCTAAAAATTGAAAAATGTCAAAAAATGACCCAATAACTATACATTTCTATCTCCTAAATGTCGTGATACACATTCATTTACATGTTAACTATGTCTGCAATGCACCAATGAAAAGTTGACATGTCATCAGAATCCAAGCCCTGGTTATCAGCATTTGAAAGCTAACAGGAATTTCAATCTGAGTAATATAAAATGTACTTGGATTGGTATGAACAACAGGTTGAATTTTGAAGTACCAAAATAGCAACCCAACCTCCAGTGCTGGCCTTGAGTGTCAGTTTTTCTTAATTTTTTTGAATTATGATATTATAAAATTTAAGTATAACAATCATTATTAATTGATCTTTTCCAAATGCATTGAGATCTCAATTAATTTTAAAAGAAGACTATATTTTACACAACTTCTACTCAGTTATATTGATTATCAATTCAAAATTTAAAATATTGGGTATTTGCAAAATTTTAATTATTGCATATTAAATTATAAACAGAAGTAGTTGTTAAAAAAATTATTTTCAATAATTATATATCTGTCAATAATTATAATTATATTAATACATTGTAGAAATTTGAGAATGTAGTACATTGCTTTCTTTTCAGCAACTCATAGATAATTTCTGTTCAAAAATAAGAATCAAGGCTGTTCTAAGCAAATATCTTTGATGTGTCAAATGCAGCATTTATTTTACAGCTAGAGTTCAATTTTAAAGAATCATCATTATCATCACAAACTAATTAGTGATAGACTTAATGGGCTGTTCCATGATCCTATAGGTCTAATAGAATCTTAGTTGGTACTAAGATGTGATTTCCTATCTCTTTCTTGATATACTTCTCTTGTACTTCTGGTTTGTATTTCAAATCCTGTTTTGAAAGGGGGGTTGGTTTTTATGTGGTCTTACTATTTCATTAAGTATTTTATCAAGTCCTGAATGATTTTCATGGTATTCAGTTCCTTCTTTAGTTCTTCATTTCTTATTTTATCTCTTCTTGGTTATCTTTAATATTAATCTGAGTTACCATATTTAAGCTGCTTCATTTCTCTGTTTGTCTTTCTGTTTCAATAACCATGCCTCATTACAATATGCTATCATTGGTTGGTCAATTAGACCTATTTTATGTAGTCTAATTTTTATGTTCGTGATCATGTGTAGAAAGGATATTTTTATAAATCTGTTATTTTATTGTATTTCGCAAGTTTTGTATCAAAATGCCTCCTCGTGCTGAGAATTTATTTCTTAAAAGTATAGATTGACACCAGTTGTACTATTTTGTTGTCAATTATTACTTTTGTTCTTATATTTGTGTCTTTAAAACCCATTGATTGAGTTTTTATTATGGATATTTTTAGACATCTTACAGTTTTGCTCAGATTCTTGAAGTTCATCTTGCGATGTCATCAAAATTACTTTGTCATCAGCATAAAGTATCTTTATTTCCTAGCCTTGTCTTATTATTATACATCCTTGACTCCATATGACCATATGGAAGAAAGAAGTTGGCATTTAAGTATATCTCCGACTTATATATAAATTTTGGGGTAATTTCTTGTGATGTGCTTCCTATTTCATCTTGTATTTTCAATGGAGTTTTCATATATCAGACTTGTGACAGTGTTTACTATATGCTCAAAATTTTATTCCTTCTAATCTTCTAGTCAATAGTAAATATTGTAGATTATCCCTTGCTCGTCCTTAATTTGCTTTGTTCTTCTCCCATTACTCTTTCACTGTCAGTTAATTTATTTTTTAAATGCTTACACATACCTTGAAGGCTGTGTCTATGTAGTTATTCTTCTGCAGTTTTAACATTTGCTTTAGGACCTTATTTGTGATTATTCATCACTATTCCAGTTAGCCATTCTGTTGGGAATTTTAGGTCTATCCATATTTTAGTATTACTTCTTGGTATTTCTCTTCTATGCTTGTCTTCCATGTTTGCTTTTACTTTATCCATAGGCTTCTTGTGCATCTCTTATGTTGTCTCTTGTCAAGGGCATTTCCAGTCGACCATTGGGGCAAAGGGGGGAGACATCATAGATTTTTTGTTAAATAATAAACATATTTGTAGTTGTAGTGGAATTTATTTTTATAGTGTGTGTGTATATATATTGTGTGTATATGTATGATACTATACAATTTTATTATTTAAATAAATAAATAATTCAAAAATAAATATTCTAAATCAATTTTTGTTCAAATAAAGAAAGTAACAAACAAAAACTCTAGACCCATGGGGCGGGGGGTGTCCATACTCTGTAAACATATATCATATATCTTGATAATATTCCAATGTTTGGACGTTCATCCCTTCTGCTTGAAAACCTTAATTTCTGTAAGGTTCTATTCATTTGTCCTCTGTAAATGTATTATGCCAATTACATTTGTACATTGCTAAAATTTTTGTATCTCCCTCTTCCATTTTATTTTAGATATTTTCTGTACTATTTTGACGTCTTTCTGGGGACTTACGTCTTTCTCTATTCTATTTTCCCATCTTGATAAGGTTTTTCATCTAGATACCCTTGATCCTTTGATCAGTAGTGAAGATGTTTTGCTCCTAAACTTTTTGAAAAATAGTTTCACTATGGTCATGATTTGTTCAGCCCTCTTTTTGTCAGTTGCAAGAGGAGTAGGGATGGGAGGACAGGTGTTATTTTGTTGGCAATACTATAAAATATAATCAGTAGTTTGTTTGGCAATACAAATGTTTTTTATAACATGAGAGTGACAATTTAACGTTTTTAAATGTTGCTATCCATTCTTCTTACTATCTTTATTCATAAATTCAACTATAGATAGTAAAAATTGGAATAAGGATTCTGGAGCTCATAAAACTATACACAGATTAAACTCCTCCTCCTACGTGTCACACAATTTTTTACAGTTTTTACTAGTTTTCAAGAATATATAAATAAATATTGATTTTACAAATTTTTCCTAATCTTTCCTTCTTGTTTTTCTTAGTTTTGTTATTATTTTCATCTTTGCCTACAATTTCTAATATTCTATTGTGTTTTGGAATTTCTGGTCTGTAAGTAGCATCTTCTGTAAGCTTTATTCTTTTCCATTATCAGTGCTGCTAATTCTCCATTGCAGGACCACAACCACTTTCTTTTTTTCTATTGTTTAAATCTCTTGCCTAATTTTGTGTTTCACTCCCACTAAACTTCTTACTCATATTCTTGTGTCTTCATTGAGGACAATATAATCTTTAATAAATTTTGTGCCTATTCCTTCCCATATATATTTTGATATAAGAAAACATATTGATATAATAAATATATTTTGATATAACAAAATATATCTTATTACATGTAGAATTCTGTGCTTTCTAGTTGTGACAGTAGTCAAGATGTCAGAGTATCTGGAATAATTTAAAGTTATAGTTTTAGTGTGCCTTTTGAATAGACAAAGTACATTACAGCAATTAGTATCATAAATATTCTTTTAAAAGGTAGAAGTGTATTAACAGTGTAGTAAATTTCTTCTTTTAGAGTAAGGGAGGGAACGAGAGAACATACATGGATACACAGACATTGTACAATAATATGTTTAATTCTTCAAATAACATGTACATTTCATGTACAATGTAAGAAGTAACAAGTCTGCACCAACTATTTCCGACTAGATTAGTTACAAGCTTGGAAGGCAGGTGGTGCTAGGGCATGGTCTCACAGAGTTAACACCCTAGTACTATTAAAAAATTTACAACAAATACAAATTTATTTGACAATCCATCAAAAGCTTGAAAAGTATAGCACTCTTCAGATTATTCCTCCAACCAATCATCTACTTTTCAAAATTCTAATTTTCCTACAGTTATGCAAACACAATCCTCAATGAATTTTTAAGCATTTTTCAGAAATGACAGGCTTCTACATTATTTGCAAAAAGAGAAGAAATAGGACAATGCAGGTAAATACAAACTGTGAAGTGGCTCAGTACTTACTGGCAAGATAATTGAACAATTTCTTAGTGTTAACAAATGTGCACAGCAAAAATCTTCTAATTTTTCTTTGTAACCCCCCTTTCCTCAACTCTAAAATGTCGTGAAATATTTTGGATCAAATTATAGAAATAAAATATCTGCAAATCAATTATCTTAATCATAAGGCAACTCTCAAAAATTCTTTATGCTTTACTTTATAAAACATTTGAACCCAGTAGCAAAACACACAAAATCCAATAGAAACAACAATGATATATTTTGCTATAAATTATACTTTGTACACACACTAAGAAATTTACAACAAACAAACAAACCTAATTAAGGTTTTTACAAAACCAAAACTCTTTCATGATTTTATTTAAACTATGAATATATTTAAAATTTAGAACATATAAGAAGAATGTTCATATTTGTGAACACAAGGTAAATGTAAATCAGAATTAAGCATTATTTTTTTTTAATGAAAATCCTATAACCTTCTGAAATTCAATTAATCTTCCATAACATATATAAAATATAGTACAATAGAGATTACACAATATCACATGTTGTGTATTTAGTCCATTCAATATCAAAAGGGGAATAACTTAAAAATTTTAGTGCCTTTTGAACTGAATGACTAATTCTGTTATTTTAATCAATTATATTCTTTAGGTACAAAAAGACACAATTTCTTACATTTTCTTTATTAATCACTGCCCAATTAACCCTTAATTTGATTGTAATTTTACTTATAGATGACATAGAAGGAAGGCACATTTAAACAGTTCAGTTATTACCCCAATTAGCAGTTGTGGGAGTAAAGACAAAATTAAACTGACAAATATCTTTGACATATTGAAAATGAGTTGTGTGATTCTCACAAGAGTAATTTTTTAACAGCTATTTCTGAAATTTGAGGATATGTTTCTAGTTTTGACAATTTTGTAAGAAATATTAATTTTTCTATGCACTGATATGTAAAATTTAAAACCATTATGTATAGCGATGCTACATAATTTGCCAAATGGAACTGAAGATGATAGCTCATTATGTACTTTTACACAGGACAAAAAATATAACAAGTAAACTCTAATGACATTGAATAGCACTAAAAGCTAGAGAAATAAAATATGTGAATAAGCAGTGAGCTTCCTGTCACATCCAGTTTATATTGGTAGGTAGCAATGCTGTAGTTGCTCTGTTACAAGTTTTTATACACAAATGTTCATTAATCATCACAATAACATCAAGTCCTAGCTATGAGTATGTTTTAAAAAGAATGACAAAACAATATTCCATTAATTACCCATAACTGGAATCAAACTCAACTAATGTAGAATGAATGTCACATTTGACCATAGAGGTTTAGTTAATTCTTTCCACAAACTTGTACATTCAACAACTTTGGAAGCAAAACAATCAAACTTTGCTTTTTTTTAATTTAATTATTCACCTCTCAACTTGGAATTATATTGCAAATGAAAAGCAACAATTCAAACATAATAAGTCCAAAAATATTAAAATTGTAGTTTGTTCAATAAAATATTGAAATATCCCACTTCATTAAACAAACAAGTCTCTCTGAAATGTACTTAAAATATTCATCTTCAATCTATGAAATGAATGGAATGATTTGCAATAATACAGGAATGGTTGAAATAAAAACGTACATATTTTTATTGTATCTGAGACCGAAGACACACATACAGAAGAAAAAAAAATTAATAGCATAGTTTGAAATTTTTTGCTTCAAGTCAAAACTGATAAAACGTTGAAATCTGAGAAGTAATTATTAATATCTTCTGAACAAGAATATCCTTACAAGCCGCACAATCTACTCAAATATTATTTTTAATGTATAAATACCATATTTTAAGGTTAGTTAAAATAATTATCAAATGATAACCTTCATATAACAGAAGTTAAGTATAATAAATGTAAAAGAAAAATAAATCATCAATTAACATTCTACTCTTACTACAGAAAAATATTTTGTAAGTAAAATTAAATAACATGATTACTTTTAGTCATTTTCTTGTTTTTTGACTCTACTAAAATAACTATTAAGTAAAAAGAATACAATAACATCTATTATTTTGCTTGCTTAATGACTGTATTCATAATCACTATAAAAAAAGTGCTTTCACTTTTTCACTTCTTTGCCTCTATTCTATCACAGTGAATATCTGCTCAAAACATCAGTGGGACGTACTACTTGGTGTAGACAGTCTACATCATAAATTATTCCTACACCTTCTTTAAAATATACCTAATTATGCAGACACTATTAGATTCTTTTGACATGAAAATGCAAAAGAATATCAGTAACTATGAGAAGCATGGTGATCCTCCTAAGTCACCAAAAATGTACAACTGAAATTTCCCATTAAGCACCAAAAACCTTTCAAAGAGGGAACTTTGTATGAAAGTAAGCAGTTGTTTTTAAGTAGTCTTCCACAATGTGAATGCCAGTTGTTAAGAAGTACATCATTCCACTTCCAAAATTACTAGAACTTTCACTTGCTGAATGAAATGATTGGAGCAATAGGAAATATCCATGTTTAGTCAAAAAATGAAAACATGAATAAATTATGATAATTGAGAAATGCAACAAACAGAGTTTGGAGGCTGAGAAATGAGTTTTGAAAATTCATAAATGTAAATCATACAATACACATATGGATCTTTATTTTAAGGTCTAAATTTGTGTCACAGTTTTCTGAAGAGCATGATACTGTGAAAGGAATGTAAAACATGAAGTAAATTATCCGTGAATGAACAAATGTGAATGAATAAATAGATTGCTCATAAAAAAGAACATTTTCCGTATATTAATATTTTTTCCAAATCTTACATAAATTTTGATCACACAAAATATTAATTAAGAATACAAATATACAATTGATTCTCAACACTATTATTCCAACCCAATTAACTTTATAAAGCAATGTAAAGGCCAATTACAAACGTTTTGTTCAAATATTACAAATTTTATCAGTATTCTAAATATAGAGAAGTTAATGAATTTTAGATAATTACTTTTGATTAAAGATAAGCTAGAATAAGAAAGAAACAACACATGGAATTGTCATTGCTGTAACATTAATTTCTTACAATAAATACTGAGAAATTACATATTTTATAAAGCTTGTTGAAAAAGTAATACAGCTCAAATTCATACCATTAATAGACCAAAATAGCTTAGAAGCTATTCTTTGAAAAAGGAATACAAATTATTGAGTCAAATACCACGAGGTTTTGAATCTCAAATTGGGGTTTACGTAATTATCCCCCAATACTAGACTGTAATGGTATAATTTTACTCATTTAAACCCACAGGCTTAATTTGGAAGCCAATTATGGCGCATGAATACTAGTAATAAGAGTGAACACTTAAAAAGTGAAAATGGGTACATATAAGTTCCCATACATAATAGGTCTTTCAATATCCATTATAAAAAGAAAACTGCTAACATATTTTAGAATTTCTTACTCAACAAGTTAAAAACAAAAAGGAATAGTGCTGGGTATTGTGAGTCAAGCATAAAATAATAAAGAATAATATGTTTTAATTTGTTCTGAGACTATCTCTGAAGTTATAAAGTTGCTTATTACAAGAGTTTATCAATGTATTAGAAAGAATTTTCAAATGTTTATACATGTCAAATTTGAAGAAAACTTGCAGGCATTTCATTTTAATTATTAAGAACACCATCCACACTGACAAGTGAGACTGGATAATGGAAATGTTTTACTTATGTAAATTGAGTCAAACTTTCAGATATTAGCAAACTTCTTTGATATTAACATACTTCAGGAGTGGGCTGAAAAAATTACTCAAAATTTCATCAGCCTAATTGACTTATGTGGATGACTAGCAGAGACATTTTTTTATCTTTCAAACAAAGTTTCCTCTTAATAATACATTTCATGTATACCCTATAGTATTTAAGATGTCACTCCAAAGAGGCGTATAGGAATGGACAGAAAATGTAAAATTTAATATCATAATCAGAAATAAAATAAATTGTGCTGATTTATTTTATAACCAAGCACCTCAAAGGATTTAAAATTGCAATAATATACATTGTCAAAGGCAAATAGAAACTTTCTAGTATCTTTAAGATTAGTTTCTTGGTAAAAAAGATTGGAAATTTATTCTATGACTCATTTTATATGGTTCTTTCCAATCATTGTTTTCTCAGCTATTTCAATCACTCAACCAATAGAAAACTCCAATGTTCAAGAATTGTTTAAAATAATCAAAATAACATCCCATTTTACTTCAATTATGTGTCGAGAGAAGTGAATCATGCCAAAGAGTCATTGAACACAAACTAGAACAAAAACTTTCCAAATATCAAACAGCTTAAAAAAAAATTGTCATGAGTTAAGCAACTCAGCCCTTCATCAGAGGAAGACAAACAATTGAACCCAAATCACAAAGATACATTCATAACTCTACAGATCACATAAACATTTGTTGTTTCAATGTGAACCCTTTGTTGAGAAGAAAAAGTCAATTGCAAGCAGACATTCAGAAAGCAGGGCCAAACACTATCAAGAATGAATGTTTGGTGACCTGCATGTCTCCAAGTCCCACATGGGAAGCAATGACAACAGTCAACAGCAGTAGATTCTGCTCAGCGTAAATTATTATTTACCCCATTGCTGGATCCATTACTGTTGTTACTACTGCTGTTACTGCTACTATTGTTGTTATTGCTGCTGCTCGTACTTCCTGTGCTGCTTGTGCTCAGTGTGCGCTCAGTTGTGCGCTGCTTGACATCCACTATGATTTCATCACCGTTGGCAATGTTGTAGCTGTACAGTCGTTTACTTGGGTACCTCATTTCCTCAGGACCGTGGACGCTGCGCATGGCTTGATCTACATAAAACAACCTCATGCGTCCAGCAGGTATACCAGTGAAAGATTCTAGTTTTTGTTTAAGGTCTGCAACCTGCAATAAAATTAGTCTTTATTAGAAATCCATCACATCATATGAAGTTGAGCAAATATTGTTGGAATGTTCATTTATTTTATTATTGTTCATTATTTTTACCTGTTGTTCAAATAGTGTGATAAATCAATATAGTTTTAAAATTAAATTAGCTCTTCTTCCAATTTTGATATCTGGTATATTATAACTTATCTTTACTACAATTTCTTGTCTATTATTGTTTCTATTATTATGTCTTTATTATCAAAATCTGTCTATTTTGATTTATTCTATTATAATTTAATACAATTGTCTAGATGAGTGTGTAAATAATATATGTGATGTCTTTGATATATAATCTCCATTGATATATTATAAATTTTTGTATTTTATTATAAGTCTATAAATGGGTATATCCAGTTGGCTTTGTACATTAATAAATAAAATAAAAATAAAATAATTACTCTAAAAAATACTCATATTTTTAAATTCTTAATTTCATAAATACTTTACCATTTGTTTCTTAATTTCATCAGTTACTAAATTTTATGTACTATTGAGTGCTTCTGAATTTTTTGCTATCATTTCTCTTACCGTCTGGTAGACGTGCAGACATCGCACTTCTGATTGCTCTCCGCATGTGACATGAACTTTAACCCTTTTTTCTGGGCTGAGATCCACCTGAACCAGAGGGTCAAGGCGACCGTGGACAGCAACAAGGTCATTGTATCTGAAAAAGTGACAAAACCCTGCCAGTGATTGCACCAGAAGAAATGTCAGAAGGGGTTTGGGTTACAAGGGCATGTATCCTTCCATCCACAAATTTAAAATAAATGAATTTATCTACATTATATCTAAAAGAAAAATGAAAGTAGGCCTATGTTCCACAAAAACCTTTGAACCACTTGCAGTGACTGCCCTCCCCCAAGTTTGGCAAAATCTGTTTTGAACAGCGGGAACACCTAGGGAGGTTTGCGATCTCAAAACGTACCCCATAATGTGGTTACACCCAAAAAAGTTCTGTTCCTGGAAATGAGTACATATAGGGGTAAAGCTGGAAGGGGGGAGGGGCACAATGGGATGGAGTTGAGCAGGTGAAGTTGGGCGGGTGGAGCTGTGTGGGTGGAGCTGTGTGGGTGGAGCTGTGTGGGTGGAGCTGTGTGGGTGGAGCTGTGCGGGTGGAGCTGTGCGGGTAGAGCTGTGCGCTTGGAGCTGTGCGGGTGGAGCTAGACGGGTGGAGCTAGACGGGTGGAGCTGGGCAGAAGCAGAGCTGATAGACCTGGGTGGGTAGGAATGCTGGCAGATAGAGGAGGGAAAATCAGAGATTCCAATAAAATTACTTCTAATTTTCACTATTGAATGAAGTCCAGTCAAATAGCTCTTTTTTTTATTGGTACTAATTATTTAATGCTGATTGCTCTGAGGATTGACCTGTAGTTGACACTGGCTGTGATACCTCTGGCTACTACCTCATCTAGATTGAGAATATGCAGCAAATTTTGATATGCATGGCACTCAATAACATTTTAAATTGTTTCTGTGCATTCTTACATAACTCTGTTTTCAGACTTCAAAGAGCTCTGCTCATGTGGAAAGCGCAACCATGTGTCTGCCCCATGTTTATTGAATATTTATGTCATTAATATATAAAAAAAATAATATAAAAAAATGAAATTAGAGTAAAACGACTTCTGAGTCTACTAGGAAATATTGGGATGAATGAGGTAACATCCTCCCTCATCCCCCAGCCAGTAACATCTATGTCAACATTTTTGTATATTCACTTGTATGATTCCTATGTCATTCAAAACTCATTTCTCTCCTCTCTAGCTTTTACTCTAACCTTTTTGCTTACCTCTCTGGCCGATCTACTTCTGGTTTGTCCATGTAGTAACGGATGAAAGCTCTTTCTGCATCCTCACGCTCCTCTGACGATATGAGACCACCTCCGTTCAGGGTGCGAACGTTAGGCAACCGAGCAATCAACAGCTGTCTGCGTTCATACTGGGTGTGCTCCTGCGCCGCCTGCAGACGAAAATTGAGAGTGTGTGAATGTTAGTTCACAAAACAATGAAATTTTTGCTGCTCAGTTTTGAGAAAATTATTTTTTTAAAATTATTGTCTTAGAGCCATAGGGATTAGCAAAAAGACAATCTTTACTTATTTTGAGATTACTGTATGTGGTGGATCTGGCATAAAATTATAAATCAAATGACAGAGGTTTCTTTTAACAACATTTTGAGTAATCTAATATAAATTATCATTGTAACACAAACATTGAAATGCATTATTAAGGTTACTCCAAAAGTTACAATTTTGTGAAAAGTGATCCTGTAATTATAATTATAATTCAGGATTGTTCAGTGAAATTAAATCAAACGACGAATGCACTATAGCATGGGGTCCATAAGGAAAGCAGGGTGTCTGAAGATATATTAAAAAAAATTTTAACTTATAAATGTTCTTTATGAAAAAAACAAATAACTTTCTAACAAGGTTCAACATTTTAATTTGTAGGATTTCATTCGATTCATCATTCAACTCTCAGGGACTAAACACAAATGACAAATCTGACAATTATCTAAATGCTTTGGAATGGGGTGTCATTGGACACTTGGGGATTTGATGAAATCTGTTTAAATTACTTCATTGTTAGAAACAATTATCTTCAAACTGTGCTAATTTATTCTACAGACAAGGCTCTGAATTTCCTAGAATCATTGAGCCCTATTTCTTCCTTTTTTTTCCTTGCGGCAGGTAATAAATAATGTGGGTAAATTTCTTGTAATGTATGTTCTAAAAATACTTTTATCTCCATAGTTCAGGGAAGTTGATAAGCATATTTGTGACATGCAACAGCCAGTTTAGTAACAATCTCTATCAATGAACATACATTAATTATCTGAAAATTATTGAAGCCATCGAGCTCAGCATCAGTTTTGTGAAAAAACTTCAGGGAGCAAAGGGGCAAAGTCACAGGAAACATCTTGGACTGTCAGGTGCAATTATAATATTGATGACCTATACAGAACTGTGAAAGAAATTACAATCTATTGCTTGTCACTCAGAAAAATTTCAGGCATATTTGTATTTTCAAAATCAACCATTAAAGATGGAGTGAAGAACAAACATTTGAAAGAAATGGGAAGGCAGCCAGTATTAAATAGTTAACAGTATTAAATAGAACAACAGATTCTAACTGAGGAAACTTTTCGGAAGCAGTTGGAGGTTTGCTCTGATGTCTATTGAAATTAATTTCTTATGTATCAAGCATAAGCACAGAAGCTTGCAAGCTTATAAATTAACATCTTACGTGTTATGCTTATGCAAACACATTGTGAATAAGTCCACTTATGGACGTAGTCCTAACTTTTATGTTAACGCCATGCTTATGTTTATGTTTGCATTGTGAATGGGCCTTTAGGAAAGAAGGGGGGGCGTCAATTATAATATACAATTATCTATTATTAATTCTCAATATACAATAAGGTGATGGTAGATGAACGCTACGACAAACATATATTTTGCTTCAAGGAGAGAAACTCTTTTAATTCGATTTAAAAAAATAATTTAGTTATATTTTATTATGTATTTTTTCGGGTTTTCGTAATAAATTTCAAGGTGCTATCGCAAGTCTACTGCATCCACTGAGTGTAGATGCTGAACTAATTCCCTGGGTCTCCCCAGTGAGGTGGCGGTCGCTTTTCCCAGCTGGATGGCGAGATCCGGTACCGACCTACACTCGGACAGCGGGGTTTACCCCAACCAGGTATCTCCCACCAGCCGAGACAAGCTCAGCTTCCGATTGGTCTCCCGGCATGTGCAATAGTGTAGTGTATCTTAGTGTGTGTGTGTGTATGTGTAAATAACGGGGAGGATAGGATAAGGAATGGGAAGGAAAGATCGCGCGCCACTGTTTGGTTGGGTACTGTTCCGACGTTCACCGGTTGTTGATCGGAGAAACTATGGAAAACTACCAATCAGAGCAGCGGACCGCTAGAATTCTCCTTTATACAGTCACTGAATTCGATCTAGCGTCGAAAATCCTTCCACCGTGGGAACTCGAACCTAGAAGCTCCCGGTCGGAGGCAGCGCGGTCGACATCAGTGGATCCTCGTATTGTTTGTAGGAGGGGGCGCGGGTCGCGCTCACCTCGAGCAGCGGGCAGCCGGAGATGCGGAGGGCGGTGAGCGCCGGGAAGCGCGCCAGGCGGTCCACCTCGTCCCAGCCGGCGAGCAGCGTGCCCGACACGTTCAGGCAGCGCAGGCGCCGGAAGAAGTGGTGCGACGGCAGCGCCTCCGCCTCCGCCTGCGTCGCCTCGGGCGCCGACTCCGACCGCGCGAACTCGCGCGCCGCCTCCGCCGCCTCCGCCGCCGCCACGCGCGCAGCCTCTTGCGACTCTGAGAACGAAACGCAAGCAATTGCACACCGACATTGGCATGATGTGTGTACGTGTTTGGCATTTGAGGGTAGGCTTAATCCGACTTTTGACCGGCGATCCAAGGACTGGGCCCTGTTTTGTTATACTAGTGGACTCGGCAAAGCTTCATTATTGCAATGTATTACACTTCACATGCTGCTCATCACGTAATTGTTAATCTCGTTTTGCGCTACGCTCTGCAAAAATTTCAATAGACGAAATACTTTCTCGCGAGTTTGGTTCCGTTTCTCTCTCCGTGTTCCCTCCCCCCTCTCTGTCGGTTGCCCCCCCCCGTCTCTGTCTCTCTGGGTTTCTCTTTCTCTGTCCCTGCTTTTGTTTGTTTCTCTCTCTGCGTCTGCCTTCCTCAGCCTCCCCGTGTGTCCATCTCACCCAGAAGAAATCCCATAATCGCAGGGGCAGAATACTCAATGAAGTCGTCTTAATAATTGTACTTCCGTGTGCAACAGGTTGCGTCAAGCGCCGTTACGTAGGGCGCTTGAGTTAGTATAAAATCATCATCAACGCGCGAGTATGCGTGCAAGAATAAGCACATTTCCATCGTACAATGCCTATATTTTTCCCGGAAGTGCAAGCAATAAGTTGACAAGATTTTATTGCCATCGGATGCACAGTACGGCCGCGCATTAAGTACGAGTATGTACCAACCAACAAACAAACAATGTCTTTTACATATATGATTTCTAGGTGTAAGGTAGACATGTGGCGAGCATACCGTATTCCTAACCTCGTAATTAGCTTATGTGGGCTGCCTGAGCTTTTTTTCGTCACATACCTGTAGAATCTGAGATGATTTGCGTTAGATAGCATAACATATTCCCATCACCGTACCCAGTCTCTTAGTTCTTTCGTTACAGAGCGTATCTTTTCGTTACACAATCATAGAAAGAGAGCCTATTAGAAAGGTACAGCTTAATTTTTGCCCCAGCCGGGAATCGAACCAAGGGAGGTTCAAATTTCCTTTGATACCACTCCCCCCCAAAAGCTGTATAAAAACTTGAACTGTCAAACATCAATGTCACAACACACGCGATGGGTAGGAAGAGCACCGAATGTTCATCGCTCGGCAAATGGCAAGCAACTCTCGGGATTCGGCGAGTCGCTCACTATTCGTCGAATACTGATTGTGTAGAGCCCCACCGCAATCGACCAACACGCTGCGAGTAGGGTAAGCACTGAATGTTCGTCTTCCAGCGGCCCATCCGCTATATTCGGAATTCAGCGAGAGGTCGCTCGCTACTCACCGAATGCCGAATGTGTGGAGCCACACTAAGAAAAATGACCAACATGCTTCGGGGACGTCGCGTACCGAATGTGTGGCGCACGAGAAACGGCAAGCAACCAATCCAGACAACTTTTTGAGTCGACGAGTGGTCGGTCGATACTCTCCGAATGACGAATGTGTGGAGCTACCCTAAAGAAAAGCATCAAATGTTCGTGTGCTCAGCAAATGGTAAGATCCCATTCACACTACTCGGGATTGGGCGAACAGTCGCTTGCTACTTGCCGAATACCGAATGTGAGGAGCTTCACCGTAAATGACCAACACGCTGCGGGTAGGTCGAGCACCGAATATTTGGCGATTGGCAAACGGCAAGCAACCCTTGGGGATTGGGGATAACAGTTACTCGTTACTTGCCGAATACCGAATGTGAGGAGCCCCGCCGCAAATGACCAACACGCTGCGGGTAGGCCGAGCACCGAACGTTTGGCGCTCGAGTCGCTCGCTATTCGCGTGTGTTGTGCGCGTGCTCACCCGCGTCGCCGGCCATGTCGTCTTCGTCGTCGTGGTCGCCGGGCGCGGCGGCGGGGCCGGCGCTGCTGGGGGTGGGGCGCAGCGAGCGCAGCGGGCAGTCGGCGAGCGAGAGCGCCTCGAGGCGAGGGAAGGCGGCGCCCAGCTTGGCCACCTGCGCCCACTCGCCCACCGGGTTGCGGTTGAAGAAGAGGCGGCGCAGCGCCGCGTGCGCGCCCGCGCCCAGGCACACCTCGCGCAGCTCGTTCAGCGACAGGTGCAGCTCCTCCAGCCTGGGCGCGCAAACGAACCAACAAACTAATGAACTCCTATATACAATATATGTTATAAAAAATGTTTTTTTAAATAGCAATTTCTTAGGGAACAAACATTTGGCAAAATTGTTCAGTTAGTGTTTATTAATAAATGAGAGGAGTAGAGTCCTTTGACTGTACTGTACTAATATTATTACATTAATAGTAGTTAACAATAAACAGATACAATAATAAATACTTAGAACAATCAATTTACAGTCGATATTCAATGTGTAAAGTATGATGTCGTTTAAGTCGTCTGTTTTCACTATTGTCTAGGAAGTTGATGGCTAAGATATAGGGATAGTCGTTGTAGGTATTTTGCACTGCTCTTGTTGATTTCTTCTTTTATTGTTGGGATATGTAAGTCTTTGCGTATAGTTGTTGTCGTTACTTATCATGGACATTTACAAATGTTCTTAATAAAAAAAATGAAACGAAAAATATAGAGGAAAAGAAATGACGAAAAAATGAACATTTATATAAAAAATAAAGGGGGTTAGAAATACTAAAAACGGAGAGACGAAAGTAACTAAATATAAATTGAAAGTATAAAATAAAGAAAAAGAGAAATATTGAAAGAAAGAAACAAAATTGGAACGAAAGAAATAGATGGTTAGAAATAACGATGGAAGACATTAAACTTTATTATTTACATACAGATACGAAAAATGAAGGTAGAAACGACAAAAATGAAAATAAAATAAAGATAAAACGAATTAAATGTAGTTGGAAACAAGAAAATGTGGAAAAAAAGAAAGAAGGAAAAATATGGATAGAAATGAAAATGAAAAAATAAAGAAACATGAAATAAACATAGAGAAGACAAAAGGAAATTAGAAGAAATAATGCAAAGAAGAAAAAAAGATGAATCAGAAGAAAATATGGATAAATGAAAGATGGAAAGAAAGAAACAAAATTGGAAGATGCGCTAGATTTGCGTCCATAAATTGTGGGAATTCTGATGTGGCATTGTTGACGCAATTACGTGAAGAAATAGCGGAAGTCTTATTAAGTTAACGGAGGTGACTTACATTATTTCTTCATATAATTACACCAACAATACCACATCAAAATTCCCACAAAAATGGAAGAAAAAGTACAGATATAAAAAATAAAGAGGGAAAAAATAAAAACAAAAGGAAGGAAACATTTAACGAAAGAAATAAAAAATTGATAAAGAAATAGAATGAAGAAACATAGATATAAAGAGGGATTAAAGCAAACCACAGAACAAAAAAGGTACCCAGGCCAAAGAAGTTAGAAAACTAGCTCGTAGAAAGTTTGTGTCATTGTGTAGCACCACTAGTTTAATGTTGAAGGAACTTCTTTAGTAGTGTAATAATTTTTTATTTGAAATTTAGTTTTTCTCCCTTGAATCCTTTCTAATGTTCGCCGCAAGCATTGCGACAGAGCTATAAACCTTGTTTATTTTCCTTAATAATGTAAGGTATAATAATTTATAATAATTAATTTATTATTTTATTATGTAAGTTCGGCGCGCAAGACAACTCCCATGTCCGTGCGATTTCAGCACACACTGCCCTACATTCGATTCGGGGAGAAATACACACCAAAAACCGTTACATGTTACTCCTCTCAATTTTTACATTTCAGTTGTAACTGCAGGGATTGGCATTGAGAAATTCACAAGACCGCCGCGTAGAGAGTTGAAGTGAGCGCTGTCTAAAGATATTGGTGGCTAAATCGTGAAGGTCGGCCGCAACTAATCCACTCTGGTATCATTTTAACGTCCCCCCGTTTTATTGAAGAACCTCCGTCTTGAGACTCCCAAAGGGCCAGAGGACGAAAGGGCCGAAGGGCGGGTGCCCGCGAGACGCCGTGAGTGGCACGCGCCCTCACCCATCGATCGCCCATCGCCCGTCGGGGACGTCGCCTGCGGCGCGAGGGCGGTACCCCCCTCCCCCCAATCCTTAACTCCTCCACGGGCGATTGCCGGAGGCGCACGGGAGAGGGCTGCCAGAGAATTGAGCTCCAAGGCCCCCACCGAGAACCCCGCCTTCAGAAAATATTTAGACACACACGTGCTCGCAGGGGTCGAGGGGGCCGTGGAGGGGGGAGCGAGGTCGAGGGGGATGGCTGTCGAGGAGGGGATTATTATAATCTTGTACCACGTCATGTCCGATTTTGTCATGTTATCCGAATGCGGTTTTTCCGATCGCTAAGAAAAACCTGGAAAATTGCTGGTCTGAAAATAAGTATGTCTATTAAATCAGCATATACTGTTGATTTTATATAATGTTTACGTATTTATTTCAACCTGGTTAAAAATAAATAACACAATATATTCGTATTTTTAACATTTTTTAAAAAAATAACGCTGGTGTTTAGACGACACGGATATTGTAACTTGTCTTTTGAAGTATTTGTTGCTGCCTGCATTATTGTTACGGAACTTTAGCGGGCGAGTTTAAGACCTTTAGGTATTTCAGTTAATAATTATTATAAACAAAATGACAAAATTAAATATTAATTTAGAAATTTTTATATTAAAAATTTATTAGTTACTGACGAATTCGCGACAGTATTTGAGAGTGCAGTCTGAAATGAATCTATTATCACAAAATTATCTGTTCTGTATTTTATCAATCAGCGTTCGAAGTCTCAACTACATAAGTTTTCTCGCTATTTGCATTGCTAGTGTTTAGATTTCAAAGTCCTCTATTTGATTGACGTCAGTTACATGAATGACTCTCACTCATCACTGAATAACTTGTATGATCACTTTGATCACTTTTTTATTGTCCACATTACATATTCGATCATCTTTCAGCTAATAATTAGCTTCTTCTTCATCTTCTTCATCTTCTTCTTCATCATCTTCTTCTTCTTCTTCTTCTTCTTCTTCTTCTTCTTCTTCTTCTTCTTCAAATTTTGCATCTCGCACTTTCACTGCTGAGAGACGACAGTATTTCACAAATATTCGGGTGCGGTCTCTGAGACCACTCGGTACTTTTTGACTGCGAAAAAAGTAAAATCACGTCTTATTGTCGAACGTGTTAACACCACGCGATGAACGAATATTTGGAACCACGAACAATACATTTATAACATAATTTTACATAATTTTCAGAAAAGTATAAGTTCTGGGAGACTGCATCCTCGTACTAAAAGGCTTAAAAAATAAAATAAACACGTTTTTAAACGGAGTTTATTATAATAACTAGATCCCAAAAGTTTGACAAAATGTGTTCTCACCAGTGTTAAGTTTATGAAACATTTAACAATAAGAATTTCTTATCTGTGCATCTGGAATATTTTTTGAAAAGATTTTGAATATTCTATATCTGAAACTTTTAACAAAGGATATCTGTCCTTCTGGAATGTTTTTTGAAAACAATTTAAATATCCTATCTCTGCTATTTTAAGAATTTTGCCTTAACTGACATTTTTCTTGTTTCTTCTTCATCAATATATTTCTTTTTCTCCTACTACTTATCTCATTGAAGCTGAAAAATTATTTTCCAGACTGCGCAACACGTTGGCACTTTTTATTTTATATCTTGGTAAGTGGAGTTCGATTTTAGATAGGAGTGTTGAAGTAAGGAATATTTGAAACAGCTGTCAGAAAGCGATACAAAATTATCTGATTTATTTAGCTGATGCTGACAGGCTACGAGGTATCTCTTTCCACACTTGAATGCAACCTTCAATCCATTTGGGTATTATTTTGGCTATAAAACAGGTTTTAATGCTAATAATATATAATTTTCCATGCGTTTCTGATTTTTATTTTAGCCACAACAACATTTACAACCCATTTTATTAAAAATATTTTTTTATGTGCTTTAAAAATATTTATTGCCTAAATATACGAATTCTAATATTACATTTTTAAATATGTATCCTTTTCGCTTTGTATGTTTTAATTTAATGATAAGGTAATTTTAAATATCATTCTACTAATTTACTATTTCTACTAGAAATAGATTTAATTTAAAGTCGGAGAAAAGTTTGAAATATTCAATTTTAAAATTACACTAACTGCTAAAATTATGAAATAAATTAACAAAACATTATCATTATGAAATATATATAAAATTGTATAAAATATTATTTTAATCCTGTACATTTTCATGAATGGTCTTGGTTCCCATGGCAAAGAAATTATTTAAGACATAAAGTTGACGTATGAGTATTCCTACTCAAAGCAAAAGTCCGTAGTCCTTATTTATATGAATTTTACTAATAAGACGCTTACTGAAAAGTCGATTTCATAAATAATGGGTAGAGTTGATTACAAACCTCAACATTCTCGGACGAATTTTAGGGGCGTACATTATTAACTCTTTATCGGTATAATGGCGTTAATAGCTATTTTTGAGAAACTACATAGCGTACATTGCAAACAACTTCGATGCCATACATTATTTAATGCAGCGATTGCGTTTTGCAGAATCCCTTTCTCTCTAAGACGTTAATGAAGGTCGTTCGGAGCTCTAACGGCAGAGGGCTGAAATCTCTAATTGCTGGTTCGCCCATCCTAATAGCGTGTACGACGTACCGGCGTAGCGAGAATATGACAGGGATGGGGATTGCCCTCGTACTTAAACACAGGGTGAGGAGAAGGCAGCTGCGTCGGGGGCGAAGGGGAGTGGGCAACGGAGTGGGGTGACGGGGATGAGAGGGAGGCGGTGAATGGGAGGGGGCGAGGGGAAGTGTAGTGGAGGTGTTGAATAAACGTTTTTGTGGTTGTTGTGGGTGCGAGGGGTGGGGAGCGTGTGTGTGCGTGGGGTGGGTGCGAGGGGTGTGTGCAAGTGGGTGCGCGAGGGTGGAGCGAGGGGTGGGAGCGAGGGGGGAGACGAGGGGTGGGAGCGAGGGGTGTTGCGAGGGGTGGGTGCGAGGGCTTGGTGCGAGGGGAGGGTGCTGTGCGGAGGGGGCTAGGCCGGGGAGAGGACGCGAGCGTGAGGGTACTGGAAGTTTTGAACTCGTGCGTGCTCGAGCGCACAGACATTCC